AAGCTTATATGTGCCATAATCGGGGAATGACTGTACGACAATGTAAGGGCCTTTGAACTGAGGTTCTAGTCCATATCTGCCTTCATGGCTTAGCATCACGTTATCACCAATTTCAAATGACGTCGGTTTGACTACAGAATCCCATTTAGCTTTATCTTTTTCTGCCATAGCTTTCATTCTGAATGTTGCAGCAGCACGATGTTGACCTAGGTCAGATAATGCACGAGAAGTAATGTCATCAACAGTTCGAGGGTCAGAGAAAGTAGTCTTGTCAATATACGGAGCAAAAGTATCACCTGGTAGTCTTGGTTCTCTACCATAAGTCAGGAAAAAAGGAGAATAACCAGTGGTTGAGTGTACACGGATTCTTGAAGCCCAGAGGGCAGCATTCACGAAGTCATCCCATCTATGCAGGGCACCATTTATGTATTTCCGAAGCATTCCTTTAATAACAGCGTTGAAGCGTTCCACCTTCGAGTTAGTGCGAGGATGATAGGCAGATGTAAGCTTATGGTGAGTACCAGCTCGTTTCAGATATGCATTTACTAATCCACTGTTAAAGTTAGCACCACGATCTGTCAAAATCTCGGAGGGACAACCAAACTTCATCATGATTTCTTCATATATAAAATCAGCAACAGCTTCTTTTGACGCCACCGGAACAGCACGAGCAACAGGCCAATTTGTAGCATAATCTACAGCAACTAACAACCACCGATTACCTTTCAGTGTCACAGGTAATTCACCAACAAAGTCCAAGTGCCAGCGATCAAAAGCAGCGGGAACCTTAAGTGGATGCATGACGTCTTGATGTATTCTTGTGCGTCTACTATTTACTTGACAGGAAGGACAAGTCTTCAACCATTCTTTAAGATCTTTCTGCATAGTGTGCCACCAGAAACGAGGAAAAAACATCTTAAGCATAGTCTTGAAACCAGCATGACCAAAGGTTTCATGATACTTAGCAACAGTATCAGCACGAGCAGCAAAGGGTAAGAAGGGGACTTCCTTGACAGTCTTCTTATCATCGATTTCCACCTTTCTGTAAACTGTATTGCCACGTACAACAAACTTATCTGCATTCTTCTCGACCATCAACTTCAGCTCAGGGGACTTGATCTTATCCATATTCAGGTAGAAGAGAGGCCAGTCTTGTTGTACAATGAGGGAAGCATTTTTCAGGGACCAAGTAGCATACAAATAATCAGGTTCAATAGATGTAGCACAAGTAGTGGAATCAGGGCCGTCCAAACGGGAGAGCACATCTGGGACATCATTTTCCTTGCCTGGCTTGTACTGGATATCAGGAGCAAATAGTTCGAGTTCAGCAATCCATCGTACCAATCTGGGAGTTGGTTTATCTTGTGATCGTAGATATTTGAGAGGGAGATGATCAGATAGCACCGTATATCCACCTTTACATCCATCAACAAAACAACGCCAGGTTCTTAATGCATGTATGATACCAAGTAACTCACGTTCTTGAGCGGGGTAGTTACGTTCAGCAGAGGAAAACTTCTTCGATTCATACGCCACAGGATGCCACATCGTATCAGTATTATCACCAGGTTGTAAAAGCACAGCACCACACCCAAAATCAGAGGCATCTGTTTCAATGCGGTATGGCTTATCCATATCAGGAACTTGCAACACAGGAGCGGAAGTAAGAAGTTCTTTAATGCGGTTAAAAGCAGTTTGACATTCACCAGTCCATGTAATGGGTCTTTTCTTCGGTCCAGTACCACGAGTGAGATCAGTTAGGGGAGAAGCAATGGAAGCAAAACCAGGGATGAAACGACGATAATGTTGCGCAAGACCCATAAACTGTCTTACCTCTTGAACATTATTAAGAACAGGCCAATTCTTGACAGCATCTACTTTGGAAGGGCTAGGCAGAATACCATTTGGAGTAATTTTGAAACCCACAAAGATCAGTTCACGTTTTCCAAATTCACACTTCTTGAAATTGGCTATCAACTTCGCTTCTTTGAGTAGGTTCAGTACATGTCTCACATGCATCTTATGATCTTCTTCGGTTTCACTGAAGATCAGAATATCATCCAGATACACTAAGGTAAACTTATCTAGACAATCACCAAGGACACGATTCATAAGGGACTGAAACGTGGGGGGAGCGTTGGTTAACCCGAAAGGTAAGACCAAGAATTCAAATTGTCCATATCTTGTGTTAAAAGCCGTTTTAGGAACATCTTCAGGGTCAATGCGGACTTGATGGTAACCAGACTTCAGATCAAGACTAGAGAAATACGAGGCGCCTTTAAGACGATCAAGGCATTCATCAATACGAGGAAGGGGATGATTATTTCGAACCGTTAACTTGTTCAGAGCACGATAATCAACACACATACGCATCTCACCAGTCTTCTTACGCACAAACAATACCGGAGCACCCCAGGGAGAAGCGCTCGGACGGATCAGACCCAAAGAGAGTAATTCCTTGATTTGGCGTTGTAACTCATCAAGTTCGGCAGGAGACATCTTGAACGGAGGACGACTAACAGGTTTAGCATCACCAGTGTTAATCACATGAGTTACTTCACGATGCGGAGGAAGACCAGGTAATTCATCTCGGAACACAGTTGTAAATTCTTTGACTAATTTATTCCAGTACTCGTCTTGAACTAGCAAAGGGTTTCTGTCATTCAATTCAGTGTTATTTAGATACATAATATACCCTTCAGCGCCTTGTTTCAAACTACGGTCTACTTGTTTGTGAGAGATTAAATAACCAAGGTTTGGGCGGCCAGGACTAGTATCACGATCGTTGTTACAGGGCACCAACTTAATCTTGTCATCACCATTTCTAATGTACCAGCAATCGGTATTCCAATCGGGCTGTGGGTCTACTTCTTTCAACCAAGCACGGCCAAGGATCAGGTCGAATTTGGTAGGGAATACATAAGCGGATAAGGTATTATTAAATCCATGAATGGCAAGATCAATAATAACCTTTTTGTTAATTTTAGTGGTTTCACCACCAGCAGTTTCAACTTGACGATCATATACCGGACACCAGGAATCGGACAAGGCAGCAATCTCAGGAGACACATAGTTTTCACTAGCACCACTATCGATGAGGATCTTGATCTTGTTACCTTTGAAGGAACCAAGATACAGCGGAAGTTTCGTGGCAATAGTATTTAGTTCGGATAAATACTGGAATTCAGAGACCAAATTATCAGCAGGATGGATCACCGGGAGCAATTCTTGAGTAACCTTCTTGACAGGTTCAGCAGGCACAGGGACAGAGACAGGGGCAGAGACAACAGGAGGACAAACAATCTTAGCAGGAACAATAGGATAAGGATCAGAACTGGCTATTTTATTATTATTAAACGTGGAAACAGAAGACTTATTAATAATATCAGTGTAAGGTTTTGTAGGTTCTATGTTATTTGGAAGGTTTTCAGGAGGTTCATGTAGTTGTACTTCCGGTTCATCAACTACATTTAATGAAAATCCTTCTTGCGATCATTGTTACCAGTGGAGCGGAATTTCTGATATCTTTCTTGTTCTAGCTTGTTAATATCATTCTTCCTTATTCTACAGTCTGCACGACGATGACCCTTGTTTCCACAATAGAAGCAAGTCAGATTTCTACCGGTACGAGGACGAGACTCGGCAACATCTAGATCCATGGGATCATCATGATAACTATTCTGGGCAGGACGGATGGGACGATCTTGATATCTTCTTGAATAGGAACCAACTTCTTGTTGAGCAGCATCATAAGACATGGCTATGTGGATTGCTTCTTGTAAGGTGACAGCATTCTTATGTCTTATCTCAGCACGGATATTCTTGTTCGATAGCCCACGCATGAATCTATCACAGGATTCATCTTCAGAGATCTTTGGCAGGGCAGCGACAATATCCATATATCCATTTATATAATCAATAAGAGAACCAGATTGACTAAAATTAGCGAGTTTATCACGGGCCAGACGAGCGGCGTTCTCCGGTCTGAAATAGGCAATCAATTCTCTCTTCATAGTCAACCAATCTTCGGGTTCTTCTTTCGCGATCTCCAAAGTACGGTACCAAACGTCGGCACGTCCACGAAGGAGAGTTACGGCATAGTTCTTCATTCGAATTTCATCCCAACCATGGAAATCAGCATACCGTTCCAAGGTACGAATCCAGGAATCAATCACCATCGCATCTCTTGTACCATCATATGTTGAGGGTTCAGTGGTTCTATGACCGGTAGGGTTGGACTTGAGAGCACGAGTGAACTCACCGATCAGGGCAGCGATCATTTCATTAGTAGGGGTTACAGTAGGTACAACAGGTACAGACATATCAGTTTGGTTATTAATAATGGGTTCCAATACGAGGATTCGGTTATAGAAACGGTCTATAGTTACGCAGGTAAGTCAAGCAGAAGTAATCAATCAAATGCTACCAATTGTTAGATCACGTATTACAGTTAGAGTGATCTTAGATTGATTACGGTTACGGGAATATATCAGACTTATTACAACGGGTAATAAGTATCAAGTTCTTTAAAACGGTTAAAGAAGTAACAGTTAGAGCAATAAAGCGAAGTAATGAGAAGTTAAAAAAAGATGATGTTTATTGATACAAAATAACAGGGTATTTATATGTTTTCTAGCTATTGGATTGTGGTTATAATATATAAGGTAGAATCCAATTATTATTTAATGATAGCTATGTGGATAATGATGATTGGTGATATGGATAGTCTTCTTCTTCGATAAAGAGGTGTCTTTGATCTGATAATTGAATGTTTCTATAATGGGTGATCCACCAATCATATTATTTAAGTAACTTGATTATGAGACCAATGAGATTCAGTTTAACTCGCTTATCTCGTCTTGCTCGCGCCACTCTGGTGTTAGGTTTGAACCTTCTCTTTTTGGGATTGTATTGAGTCGGAAGATTGTATTGTACTTCTATTGGCTGCTTGTGTTCTACGGATGTTGGACGACTATCATTGGGACTGACAGACATTGCCTGCTTCCTTGGCTCAGTTGGTAGAGCGTCAGTCTCATAATCTGAAGGTCGCCAGTTCGAACCTGGCAGGGAGCAAGCTTTGTTCGATTTTTCTTTTTTGGTGGATTGGTTTGTGTAACATCACTTCCTGGTTGTCATTTTTCTCGATAGCCAACAAGGTTTATATGGTTTTTAAAGGCAAAAGACATGAATAGATATTTATAGACAGAGTCTATGTATATTATGCTCTATGATTTAATAAATTTTGATTGTCATCCGTGATCACATCTATTTTCAAGCTATCATTTAGGGTATTTCTCATCCTATGAAGTAACACACTCATGTTGAATGGCTGTTTATTGGGATACATAGCATCAGTGTAACTGGGGTTACAATGCACAGAACAAATAGTCTGGGACCCCTTTTTTTATTGTGGGAAATATGGCTACAGATTATACAGCCTTTACTAACAAGGTCATGCAGGGAGTTGGTCTATAAGTAATCTGCTGTCTACATTTGAATGTGAATCCTGGTTTCTCATAGTACTGCATATCACGTATCAATAGAGCCACTGCTATTTTCATCTCGATCAAAGCAAACTTCATTCCAATACATTGGTGACTGCCCGCTGAAAATGGCATGTATTGATAAGGATTAGGGGCGAAGTCATCTTGCAACCAACGGTGAGGGTTGAATTCTTCGGCATCTTCGCCCCAGATTTCTGTTGAATGATGATTGACTATGGGCAATAACATGATCTCTGTTCCCTTGGGTAAACAGCAGTCACTTTGTACAACCTGAACAGCGTTGATACGTATTGTGAAAGAAACAGGAGGAGCCAGTCTAAGTGACTCTTTGCAGACACTATTCAATAAGGGCAGTTGATTGATTTCTTCATAAGTAGGCAAGTCATCCCCTTCGAAGGCTGCTCTGACTTCTTCTCTCAATTCATCCTGAAAAGACTGGTGACACGCCAAGAACCATAACGTCCAAGTGATGGAAACACTGGAGGTTTCATGCCTGAATACAGAAGAGATGATCAGAACAATTCATAAATTAACCGGGATTGTATCTATGTTACCCGGCTGCCAGGAAGGTCAAGCATTGATTTCTCAATTCCTCTACAGTGAATCCATGACCTGTGTCTTCATCAATCAATCCGACCATGAGATCAAGAAGATCATTCACTTGATTCTTCTGTTTAGCACGTATTATTCCACTCTCGACAATGGCCCTACTCTCTTCTTCGAGTACTTTCAGTTGTCTCTTACTTTCTATATTTCTCTTAGTGGGTATATGACGGGCATAAGGGAGGAAGAGAGAGACAAGACGTGCAAATGAGAAGTTGGGAGAAGAGGTGAAGATAGGCATGACTTAATTTACTCTTATCTTTGTCTGCTCTCAATGAATGTAGGTCTTTACCGAATCCGGCCAGACCAATTGCATCCAATGAGGTAGAAGAGAGATCATTTGATATGATGATTTCAGTGAGTGATCCCGGCTCTGTCTGTATCTTCTGTGTATCCTTATGAATATCCTCCAGCCAAACATCCTTCAATTTGTAGAAAGGTCTTGCTATCAATGGAACAAGCTCTTTGATGTGGTGAACAGAGAATGCCGGATTCAACATCTTCCTCTGAAATTTATGAGCCTCTCCCTATAAGCCGTGGTAGATCAATGCTTTATTTGTCGAATCTCTTTTGTTCTTCCTTACCTCTGCCACCAACAGTCCATTCCCGATAAGACGACGCAGAAAGTCTGATACACGGGCTGGCGTAATGAACTTGTGTTCCTCTGTAGTGAGTATCTGCTTCAATAAGACATGATCTGACACTCCCACACTTGGAATGTTCCATATTTCATGATAAGAGATGATGCCACCATAGCGCTTCAACCATATCTTATAAGGAACAACCGTATCCATTTGAATCATCTGAATAATGTTTCCCATGAATGGAATCCAACTCACACCTGGACCCGGTATTCGATTGATTGGAGACAGAAAGAGTCTGTAGATGAAGAACTTGGAAATGACATAGGTAACCATGCCAGAGAGACCTAGTTTCATAAGGAGACAGTTGTCATGGTGATAAGGCCCTTTAATAAGTGATAGAAGTGATAGATCTTATCCTGTACTAGTTCATACATTGAAGAAGATCAAGTAAAGAAGAGAAAAGGAATTAGAAGAGAGAATAAGCATTGATTTATGGGGGACAAATGAGCATCTGCCGGGTACTGAATACAGTTTAAATTGGGTAAGGAGCGTCATTCGTCGTATGTATCAATTACTGTGTACATGTGTACATACACCTGTAAACATCAGTATATATATATATGTGTGTGTATATATAGAGTTTAAGAGGGTGCGTATAAATCAGTATACATATATATATATCCCCATACACACACCACACACACACACCACACACACACACACCACACACACACACCACACACACACACCACACACACACACACCACACATACACACCACACACCACACATACACACCACACATACACACCACACATACATACACACCACACATACACACACACACACACACATACACACATATATAAGTCATCTGATGAATGTCATAGTATCCACCTGTCAAATATCTCTATTCCCAACTATTCGGATGTCTACAGGAGAGTATCCAATAGGACATCCCAATAAGACATCCCATTAAGCCATCCTGTTGGTGTACCAATTGAAATAGATAAACAAGACTGTTTTTATTTCCTACGAGAGGGCCACCCAATCATATCTCTTTATTCAGTCTAACTCTTTCCCTTTATTTTTTTGATGTCACTCCTATCCCCAGCCGCTATTTAGAATTTATAATTTTTTTTTCTCAAGATATAAAATGGGGTTGTGCTATCGCGTGGCTTTTATTTCCTTTCCTTCCTTTTTATATCACTTTATTCCTTGTTAAAGTAAGTGTTCTCTTATGTTTGTTTATAATGTCTTGTTATTGATAAATGATCCCCTTGTTTTAGTATGTCCGAAGAACACGATCACAGCTTCGAACAAGTCGATGCCGGAGCTTCCAAGACATACCCTATGCAATGTTCTGCCTTGAGAAAGAATGGTCACGTTGTCATCAAGGGTAGACCTTGTAAGATTGTTGATATGTCCACCTCCAAGACTGGTAAGCACGGTCACGCCAAGGTCCATTTAGTTGGTGTTGATATCTTCACTAACAAGTAAGTGAATATGACTATAAAATTTTTTTTCCTTTCTCTATTTTCATTGTCTGGGAGATGGGTAAAGAAGTATCTGAATACTGACACTCTACTATCACAGGAAATATGAAGATCTCTGTCCCTCTACTCACAACATGGATGTTCCTAATGTGAACCGTGTTGAATACCAACTTATCAACATCGATGATGGTTTCCTCTCTTTGATGCTTGGTGATGGTTCTACTAAGGACGATGTCAAACTCCCTGAAGGTGAACTTGGTGAGAAGATTGAGGAAGATTTCGATGAGGGTAAAGATCTCTTGATCACCGTTGTTTCTTCCATGGGTGAAGAACACTGTTTGGCCTACAAGGAAGCTCCCAAGTCCAACTAAATTACTCCTTTTATAATTTAACTTGTTACTTAAAATATAAAAATATTATATATATTCTACACGCTTGTCTTTTATAATGACTCAATCATATTCTTTTATTATAATATTGTACTCAGTGGTGTTGATTCTGTGTTAATGTCATCTAATAGGTATTCACGGTACATGATAAGGTCCCCCAATACTCCATCTGAGAACCATTCATTGACATTCTCTGCCTGATTATGGTCATGGAATATGGCAGGTGTAAATATAACAGATAAATTACTCATTGTCATCTTGTTCATCTGAGAACACTCTTCCACTCTATTACAGACAGATGAATACAAGGGTAGCACGAATATATTAAGAGTATATTACTTACCTGGATAGATGCTTGATCACTGCATTCAATGTCTTCCTCTCTACTGCTGTACATTCATCCAACTTCCTCCTCAACCTCTCTTTTCTTTCGTTCACATCCACTATTTCTGTTAAGAATATAAAAGGGTCAATCACTCACTTCTCTTCTCTTTATTCCACTTACTCGAATGCTCTATTCTTTCCTGCATATTCAGATGGAAGATAGGACACTCCAGTTCCCTCAAGTAGATCTTGAGTACCGAGGCAATACTGAATACATCATACTTGGGATCATTGATCACAAACTTCTCACTCTTCTCGAATTCACCCTTCAGTTGCTCTATTGTCATCTGTCTGCCGGATACTCGGTAGATGCCCTCCTTCTCTATTCCCTTCATGGTCTCCACTTTCTCGATACAATGGCTGACGATCCATGGCACTTCATTGTTATGTTCTTCTGCATATTTTGTCAGATTAGATCCAAATAAGATATCCTTGCACACACCAGTATGGAAATTATGATAATAGACCGCTTTGGGTGGGGCAAATTCCAGTCTCTTGTAGTCTGACTGGAACTGCTCTACTACATGATGACTATCCACTTTCTGCATAACACCAATCCCTGTTTGAATGTTCTGATAGAAGGATTAATACATGTATTTTCAATAGGAGTCTGTTTATATACATGTATTTCACGCAGGAACATCTCTTGTTCTTCATTAGTCAATGTCACTATCGCCTGTTTAATTAGATCTGACTTCTCCATTAGCAATACCTCCACTGCCTATGAAGAATGGGTTGATTTATTTTCTTCTGTTCTCCTCTTTCTTTGTATTTACCTTTTTGACGTCCTCCATATTCTGTACCTGAGCCTTCCTCAGTCTCTCCAATCTGAGAATACCTTGTCTATACTCAAAATCTTGGGGTGATAACAGATAAATACAACAAAGAACAGGACACACAATTCTTTTTTTTTACCTGCTTCCGCGATCTCTTTCTTTAATCTGGCTATTCTCATGTTCTGCTTGATCGCATCCCCCAGTACAGGTGCATTTGTCATCTGAGACCTCATTTGACTGATAAATCCAGTGATTGCCTTTCGATGTGTGGGAATATCTTGGTTCAAGACAGAATTGATGGTCTCTGTGTCTGTTGTGCTCTCACTTGATAATCTAGA